ATAAAAAATAAAAAATAAAAAATGTATTCTAAAAATGTAGCGCAAGTGTCTATGGATTATATTTAAAAGAAATTTTTAAAAAATATTGATTAGAACAAAAGTTATTTCATTTGTCAGAATGTCAGATCTGTTTGGGACACCCTGTATTGAATTTTAATTTACAACACAGCCTAAGTACCATATTTTATGAAACGATTTAATTAAAGTAGGTAATAGTAACTCCATTAAATAATAAATATTCCAGTACAATTAAAGTACCAATTAATTAAGTGCAATTCCGTGTTTTTCTGCTATAATATTAATGGATGTTTTCATATATTTTGGTAAAATTTATTACTACGGACGATAATAGAAAGAAAATTAAGGATATTGAGATATAATCAATTGTGAACAAGGTCGTGTTAAAACGATGATAGAGACGCCCTTATTTGTCGCTATGGATACCCCGAAAATCAAAAATCCCCGAGTCGAGTATAAAGTTCTATTGCGGTAGTTTCACGCTGGAGATCAACGAATTATAATCATCAAACTAAACGTATAAAAACCATAGCAATACACCAACGTTGAATAACTAGATTAAGGTGGGTATAATATTTTATAGATAGAAAAATTATAATACCTAGCTTATATTAAAAAATTATAATGCATAATATGATCATTTGAATTTAAAAAATAGATTTGTAAAAAACTGTAATGAATTTAATAGACCTAATTTTCTTAATATATGTTCAAGTTTACTTTAAAAAAATTATGATTTATACTAATTTCTAAGATTTTTAAATTTTATATAAACATAATATTATGATCTATGTTGCATCACGTTGCTATTATTTTCTTGTACATCGTAAATTAGTGGTTGGGTGTGGTCAATATAACTTACGTTAGACATTTTTCAAAGTGTTAGAAATTTAAAAATACTATCATAATTATTTTTTCATTAATAWAATATCTGTAATTTATATTATCATTACAGTTTTATTGTAATAATAGTAAAACATTTTTATATAAAATATAATTATTCAAAACTAATGTTCAATAAAAAAATGGGTACTCTTAAATTTTTTTTATTTTCACTTTGTGGTAAAAAGCATATATTAATATGCATTATTCCTCAACCCAACAAAATTAAAAAAATTAACTCAAATAACATGTAAKTATAATACATTWATGTGCTTAAAATCTAAATTTAAATTATTTGTATAGGTATGTGTGCATTTTTTATGATGGTTCTTATTTTTTTTTTAGAAATATTTACTTATACGTATTAAAATTTAAAAGTTTACATAAATTAATAATTACATTTTTTTCAAAATCTCAATTTTAATTTCAATTCGTAATTAAAAAATTCATTGCAAATACACATAAATTTAAATTTAATAAAATAAATAAATAAAATGCAGTAATAATCTGTGTAACAAAAGTGATGTAACAGAAGTTAAAATGCGAATAACGATTATTGTTTTTAAATCCTAAGCATTTCAGTGATCATTAATCTGCATTATAGTTCAAAAATCATCATTGCATTATTATATTTCATAATTTAATGGCAACTACCATATAAATATATAATTATAAATACTTAACAAATAACAATAATGAATAAATAAATGTATAAATATTAAGTTTTCAGAATATTAAAATATTCAAATCCTTAGAAAAATGAGTGAGGTCATCAAATGCATCCACAATATTGTCCCAACTACTGCTGAAGATAAACAAGTTGTGATTGAATTTTTGAGGAAATTTTTCTTCCGAGACGAACCTCTTATTTTGGGTATAAATATGCTGGAAGATACTGATTCTTTAGCAAAACTCGAAAACTACTGTTTTAATTTTGTCGACAATGGTGAGCTCAATTACAAAATTATAAAATACAACGCATCTTCTTGTAAAAACAATATATAATATATAATATAAAGAACTAAAAGAGGTAGGTAGATACCTAAATTACATTATACAAATAATATTATATTTTTTATTCGACATCTACAATTAATCACATAAATTTCATTAGATTCCCAATAGACTCCTAAAACAGAACGCCGAAGTGCTACATTCACATAATATGTGTTTTCTCCGTCATGCATATGTAATACAAAGAACTATGAAATTTGTGTTCAGCTGTTAACATTTTGTGTGATAAGTTATAACCTTATTGAAAATAGATAGAACTGATTGTTGAATTGAACAATTCTCTGTAGTTTACTTATAGAGAATTGGCACTGTAGAAATCCTGAAACCAAATTTGGCACCTTTTTTGTGTATTTTCGTAAGACGAAGACAATACTAATCACGCGTTTCACACCTTAACTGATTTAATTATTGAGTAATTGTGTCATTGTGGTTGTGGCCATTGGACATACCTATTACCTATATAGATATACATTTTATTGTAAACGTATTTAAAAACTAATTATTTCAGATGTTTTAGTTATTTAGTAATTATGTGATATATTAACCTGTACATTTACCGATTTGTTGTTGATAAAAAAAAAATTTAGGTCCAACAAAAATAATATTTTTACATGGCATGTTATAATATTATTGTATATATATTACCTACTTTTAAGGAACAAGCCGAATTTGTATAGAATACACCTGTTGCTTAAATTTAAACAACAAGTTATAAAAGCTCAATAGATAAAAAATCAACTATATTTTTACTATATGGCAGATGATTTCTAACATTTGCATATTTGTTTTAGGTGCTTGTAAAAAATTACTTGTAGGTAGAAACAGATTTGTTCATATAATACTTACAACAAAGCAAAATCTGTAGTTTTACGTAGCATAAACTGCATATTAACTACCTATTTTTTATGCGTATTTTTGGTTATTGAAATATTTTAAGGTTTACTTTTTAATTTAAAAAAAAAAATTTTTTTGCATGTTTTCCTATATATAAACTATAGTCAGTTTCTATTGTAGATTGTTTGAAAGCCCCCATACACTACATTTATAATAGTAGGCCAAATGAGTATTGTTGAGTGTACATACATGCCTAACTAGATATTGTCAGTGTCTTATTTAACGTAATTATATTATTTAAGATTTTATCGATTTTTAATATTCATTACCACCACCAATTTAATATTCAACCAAACCACTAGGTACCTACACAAAAAATGTTTAGTGTGTAATTTGGGTCAGCACATAAGTACTCGCGTATTTTGATTCGTTTTATATATCCTGTTTTCTAGTAATTAGTAATCAGTTAATAATTAGTTATTTATAATTAATTGTTTAAAATTAAATATTATGTTGATTTATATTTATCTGACGTACTTTATTTTAAAATTTAGGTTTKGCATTTAAAGCAGTATCTCCTAATGGAGATTTAATAGGTGTCGTCCTAAATAGTCTAACGTGCAGAGAAGACAGCGAAAAAAATAATGAAAGCGAAGAAGACGCAAAAGATAACACCAAGTTTAGTAATATTACGAAGCTTTTAGATAAAGTCGAGCGAGAAGCAGATGTGTTCAAAAAATATCCAAACGTAGATCGTGTAATGGATATAAAAATAATTTCTGTAGATAAATCATTTAGAGGCCAAGGAGTATGCAAAGCTCTAATTGATAAGACAATGTAAGTTTATTAATAGTAATCTCATTAGGTGTAAGGTATTACAACATTTATCTATCATTTTATTACCGTACCACCACAGTACAATCTGTAAATTGTTTTTAATTTTTACAATAGTTGTATCAAATAAGGATAAATTAGTAATTACACAATTCCATCTAACATTGTAGCATGTAATTTAATTATGGATTTATTATTGTCTTAAATAATAAATTGTACTAATATTTACTACATTTATTTGTATGACCAAAGGCAAAATTTCAATGAAAAAATAAACCAAACTAATTTTTTTTATAAACCTTATGATCAGCATATATAAACAAAATAATCTTTAATACAATTATATTAAAATAATATATTTAGAGTAACCACTAACCTGAAATATAATAAATTTAACAACTGGTTATTGGTATGTGGTACCATTATATTTTAGAATTATTTGTTATTTTGTTTTCTAATAAATATGTTACATTAATTTCAATACAATATCCCAGTCAAAAGTTAATTTTACAAAAATAAATACTTACCAAAAATTCTAAATAGTTACAAATTCGTTTTTTACCCCATGATTGGAGTAACATTACACGGTACACGTACCTAATGGGGTAGTGGGGCACATGTTAAACTAATTCATAAAAATATATTTTATTAAAATAACATACGAAACAACATAAAAATCGGTTATGATTTAATTCTATAATTCWTAATAAAAAAAACTCTATAATCACCTATTTGTATTAAACGAAAGTAAATGAAAGCAATGACTGATATGTTGTTAACTACACATGTTGTGTACCTACATCACTTCTTAAATAATACTCAAATATTAAATCAAAATTAATAATTTACCTCATATTGTCACCAAAACTTCATCAAAATATGTTGAGAAAATGTTTTATGTTTCAACACATTTGGCTACGATAACAAAGTCATATTAGCAACGAAAACGTTTGACCTGATGGCAAATATTAAATAATTAGTACACAACATATAAATATTTAACATACTTAATACTATTAAATATATTATTATATTATATTATAATCTTTATTTCAGTTTTTTCTTAATAATAATAGTAATAATTATAATAAATTTTAATTACTAATAATTAAATAAAACTTATAACTTTTCAGAAAACTTTATTATAGACTCCGTAACAATATAGGCACCTGTTAACATATTCCAGGCGAGGCTATTGTCTCTCCGAACCACCCATTAAATACGGATCTGACAATGTTTCAATAGTTAATTTCTAGCCATTGTACCYCAGTTTACTCTATACCAGTGGTCAAATTACCAGCGGTCATATATTTATACATCAAAGATTTGATTTATTTATAGGATGCCATTAAGTAAAATATGTCATTTACATTTTTATTCAAATACATTTATATAAAAAAAAAAAACAATTATTAACACCGGCAACACCGACGCGACAGCTAGATTATTACTTATATATATAAATATAATTATTCAAATCATAAGTTATATTTTTAGATTCTGA